AACCTAAATGCCCATTGACAGGTGACTGGATAAAGAAGTTGTGGTATATTTATATAATGGATTACTACTCAGCCATAAAAAAGAATGAAATAAGGCCATTTGCAGCAGCATGGATAGACCTGGAGATTGTCATTCTAAGTGAAGTAAGCCAGAAAGAGAAAGAAAAATACCATATGATAGCACTCATACGCGGAATCTAAAAAAAAGAAAAAAAGAAATAAAAAGGACACTATGAGTTCATCTGCAAAACAGAAACAGACTCAAAGACATAGTAAACAATCTATGGTTACTAGGGAAAGAGGGTAGGAAGGGGTAAATTTGGGAGTTTGAGATTTGCAAATGTTAGCTACTATATATATATAAATAGATTTTTAAAAAACCAAGTTTCTTCTGTATAGCACGAGAAACTATATTCAGTATCTTGTAATAATCTTCAGTGAAAAAGAATATGAAAATGAATAAATGTCTGTATACACATGACTGAGACACTGCACTGTACAACAGAAATTGACATGTTGTAACTGACTGTACTTTAATTAAAAAAAAAAAGAATGAATAAACCTAATTACCTCCCCCTCTGGGAAAAAAAAGAACAAGATTCAGATTCTCTCCATAAATAAATCACTAAATAACAAAGCACTACTTTCTAGTAAAAGTATTACAACCATTGCCAGAAACTTAGAAAAATTCAGAGAGGAATGATCTTGCCACCTTAAAACAATTAAATTAACATGTGTTATATTTTAAAGTATTTTTTTTGAAAGTTTTTGACATAAACCCTTAATGTCACTACCTCCTTTGGTTCCTTTTGGGTTTATCTGATGTCATCTCTAAGAATCAAATCAGATCCTTTAGGTCCTATATTTTGAGGATCTTTTACAAACACTGGCTGGCCATGGCTTAAAGGCAACCAACTGGGGACACAATTTCCAAAAGATCAGTTTGGGAGAAGACATGGGGTCTGGGTTCTAATCCTTTTTTTTTTTAAAGAGATAACACTAGATGCTCCTTCATTTACTTAATAAACGTAAATGTACCAGACTTTGTGCTAGGTGCTAGAACTACAGCAGTGCATTAGATAGATAAGGCCCTGCTCTCACGGTTCTCACAGTCTCGTGTGTATGGGTGTATGTGTATACGTACATACTGTGCAGTATAAGAAGAAAGGGCAAACAGAGGGAGGAAGTAGAGTTTCCTCAATATGTATTAATTACTGTACTGCTAATGGAAACTTCAAACTGGCAGAACATAGTAAATACCTTCGATGCTCTGTGGGCCCACAAGATTCATGGCCTGGTGGGCTGGATACTCCACCCGTGGCCTCGCAATGCCCAACTGCTCCATCACGCCATGGAGCAGCCTCTGGATATCTGTTTCGGAGACCCGGTCAGGGGTCCTCGGGCTGTAAGCAGATGTTAGAGTCCATCCAAATGTCAGCCAAAACACTAGGCCAGACAGCAGAGTAGAAACCATCCTGGAGACCATTTTTAACCTGCAGAAAAATAGATCAAACATACATCGACTGGCCACAATTGGCAATTGTGATGATGCAATAATGCATTCACTCCAAGGACCAACCAGAAAGGGACTGCAATGAAAAATCCTTAAGGCTTTAAGGGTCCACTCTAGCCAGGCATCTGGTGGGGGAAGGTATTAAAGAAACAAAACAGTCCGAGATAGCCAATTCCTTCTGTTCTTGCATTCTCGGGAAGATGAGACTGGACCAGAAGTTCTCACTCATTTTTTACTGCCCTTGCAGCTCCCTAAAAGTTCTGCATCATCCCTAACCCCACCACTTTCTCCCTCTCTTACTAAAACAAACAAGCAAACAACAACAAAAAGCTGCTTCAGTTTTTGAGAAAGGGAGAGGGAGAGTGACATCTTGACTTTTCTAGTCTTGGGGGAGAAAAGGCTCATGGGAAGGAGTTGGAAGACACAAACGGTAAAGAAGCACAGAAACTTAGGAGTGATGGAAGGGAGCGTCTTTGCTTAACAAACATCTAATACATTTGAGATCCTGAGTGGGATGAAAATACACACAGCTCAGACCTGCCCTGCCTGCAATCTGGCAAGGGAGATGAGGGATGCTTGCTCCACCACATGCTAGCAGGGCCATCTTGGGCAAATGCCTCAGCTTCCTTCTCTGCAAAAGGGACTGAGACAGGCATGGGTCTTATAGGGTTACTGTGAGGATAAGTGTCAGAATAACACCAGGCACGGTGCCCACTAGACTGCCATTATGGTGGCAATATTGCCTTACCGTTCTGGAGGTTAGAATTTGGGGGAAATAAGGGTGGTGGGAGAGAAGACAGAGCAGGTAGAGAGGGAGAAAACTAGTCTAGGCAGTCAGCCTGTCTTGAATGTTGGCTTCGGTGGAACCAGAAGCCTGCAGAACAAGCGGACAAATACTCTTGCATCTTCCCTCTGCAGCTGCTAAACCTTAAGGCGGACCCTTTAGGTACTGGCCATGCAAAACCCTCTTTTGACCATTCTTCTCTGTGGGTGGAAGTGGCGGCGGCGTCCACTTCATTTCTTCCCTGAAACTGAAATATTCATAACCCCTCATTTCTATTTCTGTAAAGGAAAGGATCTTTAAAAGCCTCTACTAGATTTAAAGCCTTATTCTCCAAACAGCTGAGACAGCAAAGCCTGCGATTCTGACCGAAAAGGCCGGAGGCAGACACCAGCCTCTCCGACCATCTCCATCTTTTCCCGATCTGCTCTGAATGCAGGATGTCTTTGTTTCATTTACACCCTCAGTCAACACCGTTCTGATTTAATGAGCTACACAATCTCCTTCCTCGGGACTCTTTCCCTCTTATTTAGAGCCGAACCTCGGATTCCTTTGTCTGCCCCCAGCCTCCAGAGCAAGGATTTCAGCAGAACGCCCTCCCCCACTCCCGACTGCAAAGAAGAACCCGTTGTTTGGGGTGAGGGTCAGGAGGTCGAGCCGGCACCGGCGCAGGACTCACCAAGGGGCAGCCGGCGAGGTCTGCCGCTGTCCGGGCCTTAGTGGGGGTCGGGCGGGGAGCGAGGAGATCTGGGTCGCTCGTGCGTCACCTCCCTCCTCATCTTAGCTCCGCCCCGGCCCCTCCTCCAGCAGGTGGAGGCTGCCTGGCCGGCACTCCCGAGAACGCAAGGCAGGTGCTGGTGCCTTATGCCCTGAGCCGCACAGCCTTCCACAGACACATCTCCTGGAGACCCTCTTCCTCTATCGACCCCTATGGAAGCAATTAACCTTTTCTTTAGCGATTATCTACACAATGTGCCAGACAGCCTCGCCTCTTCTGTTCTTTGTCCTCAATAGCACACCTTTTAATGTTGCCCTGAAAGTGAAATATTCATAACCCCTCATTTCTATTTCTGTAAAGGAGAGGCTCTTTAAAAGCCTCTCCTAGATATAAAGTCTTGTTCTCCAAAGAGCTGAGACAGCCACCTTTTCAACCTTCTTTTTTTTTTTTTTAAAGTCTTTTAGCTTGAAGAGCAAGAGGCAACAGGGCAAAGAAAGGAGAGAGAAACGAGTTGAAGCGACCTTAAGAACTTTTAATAATGGCAATGGTCAGGTATATGAGTGCTTTCAGAAGAAGCCTTCCCACTGAGCAAGAAAAACGTGATGTTTAATATAAGATGCTAAAAACTTCTGTTAAAGTGATAAACCAAAACCATGTGAAAACCTCTAGGTCTATTAGTTCTGAGTGTTATTTCTAAACATCCCCACCAACTATCAAGTAAAAGTCCTTTGGCTGGAAGAGAAACCATACCCCTGCACACTGCAGAAATGTATCCAGGTAGATCCAGAATGTCTTCTGTTTTTTATATAAGATTTTTAGGGCAACTATGAACATCTGAATTTTGTTCAAACACAAGAATTGAAATGTAACACCACACAAGGAATATAGTATCGCAAATTTCTTTCATCAGTACTGGGGTGAGTACCTGGAGGTCCAGGATCAAGTACCTTAGTGAGGTTAGAATCAAGAACTCTATACCCAGTGCTAGTCCCCAAGTCTATTGTCATCGACACTAACTTATACAATCAAGAGGGGACCTGCAGAAGTCATTCGTGAGACACGTAGCCTTTTGGTTTGAAGCCAAGCCTCCTTCCTACCACCTTTTCTTCCATAGATGCTCTTCTGTTTCCAGTTTTTGTTTCAGTGTATGTTAAGTCAACAGGACAAATATTGTCTATTGGTTCGAGGCTCAAAGACCCTGCTGGGGTTTAATATTTATTATTCACACATCCTGACTTTTTTTTTTTAAATTCTGAATTTTACTTTAATGTTTCACTGTTACCTTCATTTTGTGCTTGGAAAAATGGAGAAACGATAACAATTTACTGCCTTTGTGTTGAATGGAAATTTGACTCAAATACTCTAAAATGTGGATGCGTCATATGAAATTTGATATTCTAAAAGTGAAACATCTATTTTATGTCCTGGGCTTCATGATTGTCAAAATCCTGTATTAAATCTTCAGTGATTTCAGAACATTGCCAAGCAGTCTATTAAGTTCTATGTATAATTGTATTGTTTGTTTATAATAAATTAGCATTAGATCTTTATTATAAGAACAAAGTTTAGTCCTTGAAGTCACTGCACATGTTCAGACACTTCAAACTTTGTTAAATTTGTTTGTATATCATTTGATTAAATATCCCAATGAAATTAGTAACATCTCTATTCTGTCTAAGAAGAAATGAAAATAGAGAGAGTGAATCAAATCTAAAATTCAACTTTTCTGACTTTCTCCTATTATCACACATTCAGGTTTGCATGTTTCTAATCCTTTATTCTGTACTGCAGCTTTCAGCTAAAAAAAAAAATGAATGACCTGTGGGTGTTTTTTTTTAAATAAGTATCTTTCATTACTGATTACTGATTAACCTTATCAGAAAAGCCACTTATTCAGGTGATTTGTACAGTTAATTTATGCCTTCTTACTGAATTAGTCTTCCAATTCAACATTTCATCCACCCCCATGGATATAAAAGGACATTGTTGCATTTTTAAAAGGTCAAAAGTGAAGCTTAAGAAATTGCTTTGAACCAGATAACAAATATCTCAGAATTTGTATTTTCTAAATCCACTTACTATTAGAAATACCATAAATATCTTTAATGCATACCTAGTCTATATTAAAAACCTGTTTTGATGTCAGATAAACATAATGTTTATATCTACAGATTTTTACAGTCTCTATATAAGTCAAATACTAAAGGGTTGATTCCTAGGTAATGAATATAGAATCAGGAAACAGCTGTGGAATAAAATCGATGTACTGCTATCAAGTAGAAGTTGGTAAAGCAAACCTCTGATGCCTTTAGATTCCTCGCACATACACATGCTCTGAGTAGTGGGCGACGCAGTTCCATTCTGCTCCAGCCTCGGAATGTGGCATTCTAACAACTGACCTGCAAAACTATCTTTAGTGGTTGACTCTAAGGCATATTTCTTCCTTTAAAACTTAGAGAATGCCCTCTTCTGCTCATATTGCTCTTTTCTTAAAGATTTGCTATTTCTAATAATTTAAAATATAAATTTAGATAGATTTTCTTGACAATTTGGGTCAAATTCTAAAGGGTACTTTGAATTTCATTAGAGTCTCAGGCAAGTCATTTTCCAGAAATCCATTTTTAATGTCTATGCTAAATAAATTAACATTTACAGACAAGACAAAACCATCATACGCTCTTGTAAGAATCCAAGGTAAATGTACAGAGGTGTATCAACTATTTCAAATTCTAAAACCAAGCATCTGCATGACAATCACCTTGATTAAAATCTTCCAAGCTTAATTACTCCTTCTTAAATAATTTTAAATTCTATATTGGACAAAACAGATACAAATGTATTTGTGCAAATTAACTTTAAAAACATAGTATGGCTTAAAACTCACCAGTTAACTTCTGCAGCATCATACTATATGAGCACACTTGAGTCGTCATCCTGCATTAGTCATCATTCTTAGTTCAAGTGAACACATGGTACACATCTATAGGCAATATAAACCCAATAACTTTCCCCGAAAGGAATAAAGGATTGAGATGCTATTGAAGCAAATTAATTTCTAGGGATTCGGATAAAGACAATAAACATGAATAGAACTCAAGACATAAGATTTGCAGGGCTTATCTCTCCCTTTATGTGTTAGACATTTCTTGGGGAAATGTCATCTGACCTAGGAGTAACATGAAATAGGCACGACTCATTCCACTCGTTCTATCACATGTTAAAAAATAAAATTCATGCAATTTTCAAAAACTAATTTCTCATCATCCCAGTCAACAATTTCTTTAAAAAAGTTAAAGGGTAACCTCTGCTTTGAGATTACAATAAAATTAAAAATAGTTTAAATATTGCCATGATTAAGAAAAACAAAGTCATCATTTATGCAAGCTTAAGAATCCAAGTTGCTTGTGGAGTGAAATTAAAATCTATCACACAGCAATCATTCTGAGCTACAAACTAACACGTAGCTTACCTTGCAAGTCACCTCACCAACTACTAATTTTATTTACATTAACGACAAGTATAACATTTACCAATTACAAGTCTACGGGTTTACTTGTTGGCAGTAGTTGAGCTTTTCCAATAGGGTTTTTTGGAGAACCTTTATACCAGACCCTCTCTTTTTCTGATGGCTTTCTAAGGACCCTGTTATTTAGGCCAGGAGAAAAGCCCATATCGTTACTTACAACAGATTTCAATATATCATGATTTGTCAGATCATCCAAGGGAGCCTTAATTTGGCTGTTAGATATCACTTCCTGCTTACAAACTCGGGTAGACCCAAGAGAAGAATTCACAGAGTCTGGGTGCCTCTTCATCTGTAAGACAGCTGTAGAAGTTAATTTTGTAGATTTTGAAAGAGTATCAAGATTTGACTGTTTGCATGATGTAGACTTCTGCTCTCCAGGACCTGATTTGGCACACGGAATACAGGAATCTTTCAACGTACTTTCTGTACGAGAGGGAAGAGCACTATCACAGCTCACTGATTTAACCAGAGGAGAAGCAACGTCACCAAGACTTGCTAATTTATGTCTCGTAGGTTGTCCGCCATACTCCAACAAAGAATTAATTCTTCTGACAGACTGACGGACCGGCGTACGCTGAAACTTAAGAGGTGACTTAACTTTTGTCTTACTTGGTTCATTTAAAGAAAGCTGGTTAAACCACTGTATGTGGTCTGAAACCTTTCCATGCTCTGTCATTTGCAAGCGTTCAGAAACCGTTCCGTCACATGTTTCCACCAGTGACTGCTGTTTAACGGTTCTTACAGGCCTAGGTTTTGACAAGTTTGTTCTGTTATATGCAACCTGCTCTGAGGAAGAGGTGCTAGCCACACCCTCCCTAGTAGGTGCACATTTCAGTAAGTTCTCTTCCATCCTGTTTTCATTCTCCTCGAATTTAGTATTTCGCGTATCCCTTGGGGACTCTTGTTTCTTTATTTGTTCATCACTGGGTAGTTCCTGCTTGCTTAAATCACCTTTTGGTATACTCGAATGAATGCCGTTTTCTAGTTCTGTCTTCATCTGAGTTGAGGAACATTTTACAGTGGCTCCTCTGTCCCATTTTTGAGTTTGATGTAGGGAGAAGTCTCTTTCTAAAAAGTTATTTTCATCTTTACTAGTGTGGTGTTCATTTGATTCTATCACAGTCAAATTATTAGTTTCAAATAGATTTTCCTCTGGACTACATTCAATAGAAGATGTTTCATTGAATTTTACTTTCCCCACATTAGTTAATGATGACTGCCTGTGATTTATCAATGCATGAAGATTGCTTCCAGATTCAGAAAATGCTTTCTGAATTTTCACCACAGTCTTTGTGGTCAAGTTATTTTCATCCCCACTAAGAGAGCTACCAGTTACATTGTTATGCTTATTGTGTACATTAGAAGGGGTGAGCTCATATGAGCTAACAGACAATTTTTCAACTATCATATCAGGCTCCAAAGAAGAGTTTGCTACCTCAAGACTTCCATCTATTGGAGAAATTTCATTTCCATCTATTTCTTGAAAACTTGAATTACTTGGTCCTGTCCAAGACATTCGATGACTTGTTCCAGCTAGTCGTTCTGGAGTTAATAAGTTTTCCTCAGACTTACTAATCTTTTTTGAACCTAAAATAAAGCAGTTCAGTGTTTTTAATCATTTACATTTGACCTAGTTGTGAAATATTATTCAAATACGTGACAAATTAGATACTAAGCATTTAATTCCAATAAATTAAAGATTTGTGTTAAAAGAAATAATTTTATATATAAATATGTCAAACATTTTGATGTATACATTTATAAAGATCCTCCAATTGTTCACAGAAAAATACATTGCCAACTCGAATATTTTCACTATCCAAACACAAATTTTCAATTTCTAGAACAGTAAATTACTTAATATATTTTATCATTAAAAAGCAACTAAAGGTTATATGTCAATTATATCTCAATCAAATGTGAAGAAAATGTTAAAAAAAAAAAAAACTACTGTAGGCTTTTAGGGTAAAATTCTAACAATATCCTGTATATGTACCTTTCTTTGTTAATCTCTCATCCAAATCTGGGCTAAAAAGCAGACCTGTTTTTACAGATTCAATCCTATTTTTTAAACTTTGTTGATTTGCAAGTCGTCGACCAACATTTTCAGATCTATTGACATCAGGACATGCATTCTGTACAGAAAAAAAGTTGAAAAGTCTTGGTTAAGAAATAATCCTAGTTAATTCAAAATATGAAGATAAAGTAAAATTTTGTAGTTACCAAAATTCTCTACAGCTAATTAAAAAAAATATATATATATATATAATCGAGGAACAATTTTATAGCAAACACAACATCCTCGCATGCATGCTGATGAAAAATCTAAGCATTTGACCTGCCTACTAGTTGATATTTTATGATCTAAAATGAAAACAGCTGGAAACCATAAACAAAAGGAAAAGACAAACTATGCACTGAGAAAATATTTGCAAAAGATGTGACTGACAAGGGCTTAATTTCCAAAATAGAAACAGCTTATAAAACTCAATAACAAAAAAACAACCCAATAAAAAGCAAGCAGAAGACCTAAATAGACATTTCTCAAAAAAAGACACACAGATGGCCAACAGACACATGAATAGATGCTCAGCTTCGCTAATTATTAGAGAAGTACAAATCGAAACTACAATGAAGTATTACCTCATACCACTCAGAATGGCCGTCATTAGAAAGTCTACAAATAATAAATGCTGGAGAGGGTGTGGAGAAAAGGTAACCCTCCTAAATTGTTGGTGGGAATGTAAATTGGTGCAGCCACTATGGAAAACTTACGGAGGTTCCTTAAAAAACTAAAATTGGGTTGCCATATGATCCAGCAATCCCACTCCTGGCCAGAGGAGAAATTCTCTAACCAGAGAAAACTCTAATTCAAAAAGATACACACACCCCGATGTTCACAGAAGCATTATTTACAATAACCAAGACACAGAAACAAACTAAGTATACATCTACAGATGAATACGTACGTATGTACGTACACACACACACACACAATGGAATACCACTCAGCCATTGAAAAGAATGAAATAATGCCATTTGCAGCAACATGGATGGACCTAGAGATTATCATACTAAGAGAAGTAAGTCAGACAGAGACAAATATCATATGATATCACCTATATGTGGAATCTAAAGTATTATACAAATGAGGATTTACAAAACAGACAGACTCACATACACAGAAAACAAACTACGGTTACTGGTGGGGAAAGAGGTTAGGAGAGGGGTAAATTAGGAGCTTAGGATTAGCAGATACAAATGACTATATAAAATAAACCAGGTCCTACTGTAGAGCACAGGGAACTATATTCTATATCCTATAATAAACCATAATGGAAACAAATGTGAAGAATATATTATACACAAACACATAACTGAATCACTGTGCTGTACACCAGAAACTAACACAACATTGTAAATCAACTATACTTCAATAAATAAACAAATATATAAGTAAGAACTGGCTCACACAATAACTTAAAAAAATTTTTTTTGTTATGACTCTGTGCAAGGGCCTGTTCACAAGAGTGAAAGAAAACAAACAAAAAACCCAAAATCTTACCCACATGGAATTTACATTCTCAATGGGGAGATTTAAACCACAATAAGACAGACAGTAAATTGTAATGTATAATATACAATTCATAAGGTAAAAAGTGCTATGGAGAAAAGTAAAACAGGGTAAGAGGGACATGGAGTGAGTGGTAAAGTGGTGGGGGTGTGATGTTTAACACAGTAATCAGAAGATGATTTGTCAGAAAAAAATGAGAATGAGAGACATGAAGGTATAGGGGGAAGAACATTCCAGGGAGAGGAAAATGCTAGTGCAGTCTCTAAGGCTGAACAAAGCAAGGTCTGGGCCACTCGAGAAGCAGCAAGGAGGCAAGTGACTGGAGCTGAGTGAGCAAGGGAGAGTGGCAGGAGGAGGGCTGGAGAGGGAGGCGGGGAGTGGACCACCAAAGCACTGCAGCTCAGTGTGGGAACTTTGGCTCCCCTCCCGCCCTCCTTCCCGCCCCCAGAGTGAAGCAAGGAGTCCCTGGAGAGTTCTAAGCAGAGAAGTGACATGCCTTAACGCTGGTTTTTAGAGGATAATCTTGGCTCTAGTATTGCAGGAAGGTAGAAACAGATAGACCTACTAATAGGAGTTTATTACAGTAATCCAAGTTCCAGGTGACAAAAAACTTAGAGGTTAGAAATATAGTGCAGTGAGAATAGGTCAGTCTGGATGGATTCTGAAAGTAGAAGTTAGACGACTCCCTAATGGTTTAGACGGTCCATATGAGAGAGAGTGAGGGGTCAAGAATGCCTGCATGGTTTCTGGCCTAAGTGACTGGAAGAATGAGTTGCCATAACTGAGATGGTGAAGACTGCAGGTGCAAGTGCAGTGGTGGGGAGGGGGACTGGAGAAATAGCAGCAGTGAAGAAACGCACCTCGGAAGCTCTATTTGGGGCAGGTCACAATCAAGATGTCTGCTGGATCAACACCCAAGTAGGGAGGTCAAGTAGGTAGATATTAAACAGTCAAGTTGTTCAGGAGAGCTAGAGATATAAACTTGACATCCTAAGTAAATACAAGATGTTTGGAGCTGATGATCACCTTGAATAAGTGGAGCACGAAAGAGAAATCCAAGGGCAAAGCTTTGAGCACTCCAATGTAAAAGAATTAGAAAATTAACTGGCAAAGGGGGAAGAAAATCATGAAACTAAAATGTCCTTGAAGCAAGGAAAGAAAGTATGCCAAAGAAGAGCGAGCCATCAGCCAGGTTCTATGCTGCTGACACATCAGGTCTAACAAGGGCTGGTATTTGTCCACTGGTTTTAGCAGCGCTGAATTCATGGGTGACCTAGTTCAGAGCTGCTTCAGTGACTGCTGGGGATGAAAACCTCCCTGGAAGTGATTTCAGCAGAATAGAAAAGGAGGAACAGGAGATAACAACTCAAGTGTCAGAGTTCGGTATGAAGGAGGAGAGAACGGGAGAGTAGATGGGGGGGGAGGCAGGGATAAGAGTGTCTTTTGGCATCAAGTCTTCAGCTTTATGCTAATATAAACATTAATGAAATGGTGGAAGACACTTACTCCATCTTTGCTACTTTTCCCTAGACTAAATTTCAAACGAAGAGATCTTCGAACCTTTTCTTTACGACTGATTTTAGGAGAGAAACAGCCTGCTTTTCCCGATTCCACCCTAGAAAGAGTGTAATTAAGAACATCAGTTTATAGCATAAGAACTGGAGGAATTCCTACAAAATAAAATGGGAGTCCAGAGCAAATCACATTGTTAGTAACTGAACAGAGTAACAATTTTCTAGGTTTAAGGTTCAAGATACCATGTATGAATATATTGTATTTGCACATAAAAATGATCTTTCCTGTTTATCATAAGTCACTTATAAACCAGAATCATTAGAATAGACTAGCTCTATATATTAACAGGAAATTTTAAAATTATACACATCAACATAAAATAGGATTTTAAGCAAGCAAATTGACTCAAATTAGGAATCTGTCTCTGGAGGATATATAAAGTGCACTTTATATGTAAAGATTGCAAAGGCAAATGGGATTTTTAAAAATTGATTCAAATATGATTCTCAGTAGGAAGACACAAAATATTTTATTAACTATATATACCAAATTTTTATCCAATGAAAACGAAATAAATGGATAAATTACCTGCAAACTTTTTTGCTTGCAATCCTCTTACTTCGCCTTAGCACACCTGTACTGATCAAATGATTTCCACTGATGGCTACAGGAGAGAGCGAACTCTGAGATGACCCTTCTGGGCTTGTATCAAAGTGAACTATAAAAATAACCACACGTATTAGACCACACATACTTATTTTCTCTTCTAAGTATAAAATATTAATAGCAATTAGAGTCAAAGTCTTAATTTCCACCCCTAAACAACATCAAAAATCACATAATTTCTGGTTAGAATTTTCAGGGATTAAATAACCCAGTTTAGCTAAAAATAGTATCAATTTCCTACATTTTAGTTGCCAATTAAAGGTCAGATTAAACATTACTTTTTTATTAGAGTTTGCTTTAAGGTCTTTTAATATTACAGGCGGAGTGGGCATTGTTGCAGATTAGAGAAAGAGCAAAGTTTCAAGACAGACAGACTTGAGTTTGTCCCACCATTTACTAAACGGCTTTAGGCTCTGAAAATGGACTTCTATGGTGAATATAAATATTACTGTAATGTACGTAAAATGTCTAGCACAGTACCTACTACATAAGATTAATTAATGCTATTATCAAAAATAAACTACTGAAAACAATTTAGTGTCTGAGTATCCAGTATACACCTGCTAGCCAACTGTTGTCCACCTGACTCTGGAGTGTAATTTGTCCAATATTTTTTGTAAACAAACATAAACTTATGATCTAGGAGGGGAGATATAGCTCAGTGGTAGAGTGTGTGCTTAGCACGCACAAGGTCCTGGGTTCAATCCTCAGTACCTCCACTAAAATAAAAAATAAAAACCTAATTAACTCTTCCCCAAAAAATAATTTAAAAAATAAACTTAAAAAATTTTTATGTGAAATTATGGGAAAAAATGCTAAACAAACAAACAAACAAAAAACACTTGATGATCTAGAACACACACCTAACCACTTGGCCATGTTCTGTGCTAACTGCCAGAACTGTGCTATGTTCTGCCATGTTCTGTGCTAACAACTGGAGGTTACAACAGCTCATTTTGATTAAGTTATTTAACACTGTATCATGAAACTAACTATAATAAAAAAAATTAGGAAAAAAAAAGTTATGAGCAAAGGCTCCATGCACACTTGAGTTACACTTGAATATTGCCCAGGATACACTCAACAAACATGAACCCTCTCAACTTACTGTTGGTACTGACAAAGAATTTACACAGGTTCCCAAACAGAGATAGCCATGTCTTTTCAGTTCAGTTAAAAAAACAGAAAATAATACAACCATTACACTGACTTTGGGGTGCATTTGGCTAAAAAATATGTTGGAGGCAAAATAATATATGCAGTGTGACATAAACAGCTTTATGCCAGGGCTGCAGTCTAGTCACCTTGAAAATCTATTAGTGGTGACAAGGAGGCACAGCCAGAACACATGGAATAATGCACAGTTATAACACATCCAAGAAAAAATTATAAATCAGTACTCTATGGATTGTAGGTTAATACTGTTGCCTTTATACATTAAGAAAAAAGCATCATATCTGTTATAATCCAAACTAAGAAGTCAAACCATTTCCAATTTTGCAGATGGAATTAATTGAATTGTGGCTGAGAAAGTAGGGTCAAAGAAAAATGGTGAGTTAAAATAAGAGGATTACTGATGTCGAACCTGTTAAATTTTTTTTTTCTATAAAAAATGCATTGGGTAAGTAGGCTCATACTGTTACAGTAACACAAGAACAGTTAATCTATTTTGGGGAGCTTGGAGAAAAGGAATCAGCAGGTTCATTTCTTGGGTAAGATGTCATATTGCTAATGAACAAAGGCAGGGAGAACTACGATTCACATCTGCCATTTGGAAATAGTCCTCCAAAGTGGGAAAGCTTTTAAATATTAAAAAAAAACAACACTAAGTTACTTTAAAGGTGTAAGTCTCTAAACTGTGAATACTGAAAGAACTCTAGACATAGCTTCAGAGTTCTTCATTACACTTTAATGAACCATAGAGAACTGCTAAAGGGCCATGGAGACCAAGTTGTTATTCTGTTCAACTTTTTAATAAAACAAACAAGGAAAATATAAACCCTTTGGACAGATAACAGAAACAAAAGAGAGGCTTTTGGGAAGAAGACCTCATAACCTAGTTAGCAAATTCAATATAAAACTCTTAACATTGTTTGAGACCAAAAAAATCTAAAACAATCAGAGACCACTCACATTTTGACTAAATGTGAGACAAACATGAGATGGAAGACTCTGAGTTTAGACAGGGTTTCATTTCATTTTGGGTTCATCATAAGGTTAATATGAGTCAACTTGTATTCTAGACTTGCTAAAGGAGGCAACTCAATCGAAAACCACACTAGCAAAAATTTGGTATTCAAATTAGCATGATTATATTATACTTTTCTCTGGAGGCTCTTGTTGGCCACATTAGAAATTTGTAGTTCATTTGGAATAAAATGATCGAGCTGGTAAGGGATATGAAAATCATGCCACAAGGAACAGCATAAACAAAGTTTTTAAAGCTTTTTGTAAAAACTATTTGAGTATAAAACTTTAAAAATACCACCCCCTAAACTGTAACCCACAATGGTTACTCCAGTGGAAACTATCCCCACAACTGGATTCAGAGGTGCTCAAACACTGGAGATCTCAACAGGAGACAGCAACCCAGTGACAGCTACAGAGCCAGAAGTGACTAAAGTAGAATTCAGGATGTCTCATCACGTAAAACCTGAGCACTGGTGCTATTCATGGATGCCCCTAACCTTCTAGGCATGGCTGTAAAACACACACACACACACACACACAATTATACTAAACCAATGTCTATTTACTTTTCCCAGAATAGGCACTCATATTAATGTTTACAACCCAATTACATAAATTCTATTTGCTACCTGATACTGGTGTAGAACTGCTACTGAAGAGATTACTCGGCAACAAATCAAAGTTAAAATTGTGCTTGATGGACTTCCTTTTCTTACTTGAGAAACCATGAGAATCTACTGGCAGTTTACGTTTAGCATTTGGTGTAAGAACTGTTGGTGATATGGATAGCTGGGCTGGAAAAAAAAATTGTTATTTCTTCCACAGTTGATAAAATACAAACACTTTATATAATTTCTTCTTCTAAAGTTATTACTTAGAGCTAACCCAAAACTGAGGGGATATGTCAAGATTCTTAACAAATAGTTGTAACTTAAACCAAATAGACTAAAAGATGCATATAATTCACATTAAAGAGTATTAAATAGGGAAGAAAAAGTATAACCAAGATACTGAAACAAAAATGGATCTAAAAATTATTTTTGCTTTTCATCATAACTGAATATTAACCAGTTAATGTCCTCAGTCTGGAAAACAAAACAAATAATCACATTTTCTGTTACTGGGTTGAATAATTTCAGCCACAAGCAAACCAAGATAAAAAAATTGGAACATACACTAATAAACTTCTGGTTCTAAAGTAAAAATGAGATTGAGTTACTTTCACATGTTCAATGGCATCCAACTTATAAAAGAATGTGATTTAGAATATCAAAAGATATAACAACAGACTAAAATAAATTCTTACCTATGATTTTAGGTTCATTATATCCAATGTAATTAGCAATGTCATAAAATAATATTATAGTATAATATCTCCACTGAAAATTATATTTGGAATTGATTAAAATAAAAATAAATTATGTAATTATCATAATTTCTGCATAATATATAGAAATTTTCATTTAAGTAAATATATATATACCTACCAATTCTTTCCTGTTGAGGTGTAATAGAGGGTGTTCTATTAGGTTTAAACTTATTTAATGCTCCACTAACAAAATCTGAAATGCAAGGCATATATAATCATATAATCAATTATAACTTAACATTTACCTCTTTCAACAATAATTCATATTGATATCTGTGCTCTTATAGCATCTAAGTTTATATCAGCGTATATGTTTTAAAGTCACTTAGGGTCATTCAAAAGGAATTATTCCAAACAAGAATATATCTATTTTTATTCCGTTCTCCACTTATACCCATGTAACTCTCAAAATATAAATAAATAAGAAGTCATACAATACAGAATTAAATGTAAAACAAGGATGTATAATGTACAGAAAGAGTATAGAAGAGGAAATCATTACTTTTTGAGAAAGGGAAGAAATGGCAACAAAAGAAGCTTTGCAAGGGAAATAAAATCTGGACAGTGTTCTGAAGATTTAGTAGGTGTTGATTAGGTAGGAAGACAGAATTCAGACAAGGTGACTAGCATCTGCAAAGGCATGTTAAAAAAAACAGAATTATGCACACTAGGAACCAGGAGTTTGATACTCACAGAGCAAATAGTGAATGGTGGATATGGTAAGAGATAAGTCTTATACTAGGCAGATAAGTAAAGGCAGAACAGGGCCTGTATGTCATTTTGAAGAACTTGAACTTCTCCAAAGGTAAAAAGGAGCAAAATTATCATCTCTGCACTTTAGAAAAGTCACTTTGGCAGCAGTATGATAGATTTGGGGGGTTAAGAATCCTTGGGGACAGGTAAACTAGCTAAAAGTTCTCTTAAGTATGGTATTTAGTCATCCAACAAACCTGTAATGCAAATGAAGATAAGATGCTATTGGCAGGAAAAGGATTCTTTTATCTACAAGACAATTTATTCATACCTCATAGTAACCACCAAATGTAAAACTAGAGCAGACACAAAACATAAGAGAAAACTGAGAAAAAACATTATAGAAAACCACCAAACCAAAATGGCAGGCAGAAACTCAAAAGAAAAAGAAACAATGGAGATACAGAACAACCAGAAAACAAAAGACAAAATGGCAATACTAAGGCTTCATCTATCAATAATCATCGTAAACGTAAATAGACTGAATTTACCAGTCAAACACAGAATGGCTGGATGGATTAAAAAACAAGACCCAACTCTATGCTACCTCCAGGAGACTCATCTCAGCTCTAAAGTCAAACATAGGCTCAAAGTGAAGGAACGGACGATGATACTCCAAACAAATGGCAGCCAAAAGAAATCAGGTATAGCTATACTCATAGTAGACAAAAAAGGTTTCAAGCCAAAAAAGGTAACAAGAAATAAAGGTGGACATTATATAATGATAAAGGGGTTAATTCATCAGGAGGAAACAGTTAATATATGCACCTAACATAGGAATGCCAAAATATATAAAGCACATAAAAAGCAATTATTAATAGACCTAAAGGGAGAAATTGACAGCAACACATTAACAGTAGGGAACTTCAACATCACACTTAGATCAATGATAGACAGAAAGTCAACAAGGATATAGCTGCCTTAAATGAAAAAATTAGCCAAGTGAACTTAATAGATTTATATAGTTCATCCCACTCCAATACAGCAGTGTACACATTCTTCCCAAGAGCACATGGAACATTCTCATGGACAGACCATAAACTGGGACACAAAACAAGTCTCAGTAAATTTAAGAAGACTGAAATCATCTTTTCCAATCACAATGGTATGAAACCAGAAATCAACTATAAGAAAGCTGGAAAAATCACAAATATATGAAGACTAAACAACATGCTACTGAACAACTACTGGACCAAAGAAGATAAAGGAGGGAAAAAATACAGATGAATTCCCACCAAACATTCAAAGATGATTTAATACCCATCATCAAATGCTTCCAAAAGACTGAAGAGGAGGGTACACTTGCTAATAACTCTCTTATGAGACCAAATTACCCTGATACCAAAACCAGACAAGACAACACACAAGAAAATTACAGGCCAGTATCTTGGATGAACGTAGATGAATAAATCCTCAAAGAAATGTTGGTAAACTGAATACAATATTACATTAAAAGGATCACAAACCATCATGAAGTGGGATTTATCCCAGGGATGCAAGTATGACTCAACACCCGCAAACCAACAAACAAGTTACACCACATTAATAAAATGAAAGATAAAAAACATATGATCATCAATGGATGCAAAAAAAGCATTTTACAAGATTCAACACCCATTTATGATAAAAAAAAAACTATCAATAAAATGGGTATTGAAAGGACGTACCTCAACATAATGAAGGTCCTTATGATAAACCCACAGCCAACATTATACTCAATAGTAAAAAGATAAAAGCTTTCCCTCTAAGATCAAGACAAGGATGTGCACTCTCATCACTCTTATTCAACATAGTATTGGAAGTCCCAGAGCAATTAGGCAAAGAAAAGAAAAAAAGCTATCCAAATTGAGAGGAATAAGTAAAACTGTCATTATTTGCAAATGACTTTATATATATACATATATTAAAAAAAACTCTGAAGACTCCACCAAAAACGTTTTAGAAATAATAAACAAATACAGTAGTAAAGTTGCAGGGTACAAAAAAATCAATATACAAAAATCTGTATAGTTGCATTTCTATACAGTAACAATGAGCTAGCAGAAAGAAAAATTAAGAAAACAAACCCACTTACAATCACAACAAAAAGAATAAATTACCTAGGAATAAATTTAACCGAGGAGGTGAAAGACCTGTACACTGAAAACTACAAGACACTGTTGAAAGAAACTGAAGAAGACAAAGAAACAGAAAGATATTTTGTTCATAGATTAGAATTACAAAGCTATAGTATTCAAAGCAGCATAGTATTGGCAGAAAAATAGACACATACCAATGGAACAAAATTGAGAGCCTAGAAATCAACCCACATATATATGGACAATTAATGTATGACAAAGGAACAAAGAACATAAATGGGAGAAAGGAGAGTCCCTTCAATAAGTGGCATTGGGAAAATTGGACAACCAATGCAAAATAATGAAACTAGACCACTTACACCATACACAAAAATCAACTAGAAATGGATGACTTGAACGTAAGACCTGAAACCATAAAACTAGAAGAAAACACAGGCAGTAAGCTATTTGATATCAGTCTTAATGTCTTTCTGGATGTTTCTTTGGGCAAAGGAAACAAAAGCACAAATAAACAAACGGGAGTACTAAAAAGCTTCTACACAGCAAAGGAAGCCGTCAACAAAACAAAAGGACAACCTACTGAATGGGAGAAGATATTTGCAAATCTTATACTTGATAAGTGATTAATATACAAAATATATAAAGAACTCATACAATGCAACAACAAAAAAACAAACCACACAATTAAAAATGGGCAGAGGTTCTGAATAGGCATTTTCCCAAAGACATACAGATGGCCAACAGGCACATGAAAAGATGTTCAACATTACTAATTATTACAGAAATGCAAATCAAAACCACAGTGAGATACTACCTTACACCTGTTAGGATGGCTACTATCAAAAAGGCAAGAAATAATAAGTGTCAGAGAGGCTGTGGAGAAAAGAGAATCTTCATACACTGTTGGTGGGAATGTAAATTAGTGCAGCCACTATGGAAAATATGGAGACGCCTCAAAAAATTAAGAATAGAACCACCATATGATCCAACTATCCCATTTCAGAGTAGTATTTATCCAAAAAATACAAAAACACTAATTTTAGAAGACATATACACCCCTATGTTCATAGCACAATTATTTTCAATAGCCAAGACAAGGAAACAACCGAAGTGTCCTTCAATAGGTGAATGGATAAAGAAGATGTAGTACACATACACACACACACACACACACACACACACACACACACACACACACACCATGAATACTACTCAGCCATAAAAAAGGACAATATCTTGCCATCTGTGACAAGAGGGATGGATCTTGAGGGTATTACGCTAAATGAAATAAGTCAAAGAAAGAAAAATACTATATAATTCCAATCATATGTGGAGTTAAAAACAAACAAACAAAACACCAAAATAAATGAGCAAACCAAACAAACCAAAACAAACACACAGATATAGAGAACTGAGTTGTGGTTACCAGAGGGAAAGGGGGATGGGGAAGGGAGAAACGGGTAAAGGGAGTTAACTGTAGAGTGACGAATGGAAAGGAAACTTTTGGTGGTGAGCATAAACTTTTGAATGTGTATACATAAGTCAAAATACAATGTCCACATGAAACTTATATAATGTTATAACCAATGTTAACTCAATAAAAATAAATAATTTTTTTAAAAGGGAAGGGAGAAGCTTCCTGGGTAAAACATTTAGGCTAGAGTTTAACTAGTGGATATTATTTGAACAGCAGGGGTAGATAGAAGTAAAAATATATCAATAAAAAGTATAAGCAAAAGAACAAAGTGTCTAAAAAAACAATGAATAAAGAAAGCAATTTGACTAAAGTATAGACCGCCTCAAGGAGAGACAGGAAACAGAAAGGCACGGTAAAGCAGCCCTATGAAAGGTCTTTAATGTTAGGCTACAAATACCAGTATTATTAATGGAAGTTTCTGAAGGTTATACACGTGAGATATGTGATTAGAGTTATATGTTAAGAATATCAGCCTTGACAGCAATAGGCAGAGCAGATTCAAGGAGGAGGCACAAAGACCAAGAAGGAAAGTCTTACAGTAAACACTGCAGATAGAATCTTATAAAACATGAAAACTGTGAATACAGATGGTAATAAAAGGCACCCATGGTTTAAAGCTCACGTGATAAGAGAATGGTGGTGCTGTAAACTGAAAAAAAATTCCAGCAGAACCAGTTTTAAGAAGGTGAAGGTGATCATTTCGAAAGGCTGAGCGTAAAGCACCAAGGAAAAGCAGAAGTAAAGATGTCTGCCTAGTAGAGGCTGTAACTGAAACAGAACTGACATTTGTGGGGCAACAGTGGTAGAGATCCAGAGCTCATCTACTTAGACTTGATAAGTAAAACTGTAGGATGTGTGAAATTATAAAAGGGAAAAGGTAATGAACATGATTGGTGTCTAACAATATCTAAATTTGGGGTAGGAAGGTTTACGGGTTGAACTGAATCCTCCAAAAAGATATGTTTAAGTCCTAACTCCCAGTACTTGTGAATGTGACCTCACTTAGAATTAGGGTCCTTACAGATGAACTCAAGTTAAAATGAGGTCATTGGGGTAGGCCCTAATTCGGTGTGTCAGGTGTCACTACAGGAGGAAAAGCTGGACAGAAAGACACCTAGAGAGATTGCCATGAAATGACCAAGTCAGAAACTGGAGTGATGCAGCTACAAGCCAAAGAATGCAAGAATCGACAGCCACCACCAGAAGCTAGAAGAGGCAAGGAAAGGTTCTCCCTCATAGGTTTCAGAGGGACCGTGGGCCAGACAACACCTGGATTTCAGACATCTAGCTTCCAGAACTACAAGACAATAAATTTTGGTTGTTTTAAGCCGCCCAGTTGCAGTACTTTGTTTCAGTAGCCCTAAGAGATGAACACAGAAGGTATGAGGGGAATCTACAAAGGAGGCAAGAAGAAACAGAAGGAGGCAGTACCATACAAGCCAGAAGATTCAAAAAGGAACGGGACAGGTAATAGCAACTGGCTCTGATACTCAAAAGATAAGAAATGTCCTAAGGCAACTGGAGGAGGAATGGCCTCAGTCTTCTAGATCAAGAAGATAGTAAGTCTTATGACTGATTCCACAATGAGGAAACTTTGGTTCTTTTTGATTCTTCCTTGGTAATGTTTCCTTCATTACTTTGTTCATTTTCCTGACTAATTCATAGCACTATTTCAGATCATGATTTCATACCTAGATCATTGACACACATTTCTGACTATCCTCCTCACCTCCAAGTCTCAATTCTCCAAACCAGATGATTTTCTAAAACAGTTTAATTGTGGTATGCCTCGCCTCAAAACTTCAATGCTTCTTTAATACTCAGCTTAATGTTCTAATTCTTCAGCCTGACATCACGCTCAGTATCATCCTGATCCCTAGGATGAACCTCTCGGGTCATGATTTTTATATTTATAGACACAGACATATATCACTTCTGCCTCATGCAAATCTTTCTTCAGAGCATCCTTCTCATCTAGAAAAGGATACAAATATTCTGACCCTCCACCCAGTTCCCTTAGATTCTACTCACTCTTCAAGAAGGTTCAGTTTGACCTCCTCTTTGAAGAGTTCCTGGGTCATTACAACCAGGGAACTTTTCTCCTATGAACACATTTTATGTTTGTGCTAAAGATCAAACATGTAGTATTAGGTTGCATTGTCATTTTTACTTTTCACATGCATACATCATGTCTTTCCAATGGTGCTATAAGCCCTAAAAAGACATACACCATAGCTTATGCTTTTTTATGTTCAAACGCATTTCAGGCAAAGGCAAACTGCTGTACCTTCATAGACGGGACTGCCACCGCCACTTACCTCCTACACTTTGTCTTCGCTTTCTCTTATAGTCACCAGGAGTTTCACATTCACCTTCTTCAAAGCCTTCTAGTGACGGAGTAGCACAGAGACCATCAATACCCAACATAGCTGGTATCTTTTCTAGGATAAAATCTGGAACATGCCCTAAACAAAAATGTTCATAATTAAGATCTTTCCTTTACTCCCCCTCAAGATGTTGAAATCGCACACAGCCACCTTCTAACAATTGTTTCATAATTCACTTAGAAGAAGCTGGAATCTCCCTCATTTAAACAAATCCCATTACTTAATAATAAGGCAACTGCATCTTACCGATATCTGATGCACAATCAATGAGAGTCTGCACTACTGCAGCCTGTAATCGTAGCTTCTTTTCTGTGTTAGCAGACATCTTTTCATGCCCTTCACTTGTCTGAAGAAGGTTTGGTGCAAATATTACAGCCAGATTGCTGCTATCCATCTTATTTTCACTGGACCTTGAATCAGCCCAAAATAAAAATACAGAGTTAAAATAACATATTGAGCACGTTTTAAAGACCTCTTACTTTATCGATTAAACACAAGTCAAAATACAGCTACTCTTCATCTACCCATCTACATAATTGGCTTGAAACGAGACAGAACCAGAAATACACAGCTTCTGTGTGCTTAAATCTATGTCATAAAAACACTGCTACCCATTAAGTCCACACTTTGTTGTTCCACACAAATTGAACATGTCTCTTTGAGTTTCAAACCCACACATAGAAAATTCAAGGTACTGAAGTATGTCTAGAACAAGCAGGCTCAATGACAGCAAGGAGAAGGGACAAATCTGAAAAGCAAAAAATCCAAATATTTAAAAACACAGTAATCTGAAGCCTTTCAGTGGACTAAGAATCCTATAAACATCAATAAACCATTAAGCCATTCATAATGACAACTCTAGGACAGAAAGGAAATATTAAATTATTCGGTATACTGTTTTTTAAATTATAAATTATACAGAGTATACTTCTTATAGTAAGGAACTATAATATTTTTAAGAAAAATTTCCATTCCAAATAAAATTTAATTTACTATCATAAGGTAAACCTAGGTAGTTGAGAAATTAAACTATCATCTCCCAAGACTTAATTAGTACATACCTAAGGGAGACTTTCCTGAGAAAGTTAAAGAAGTATCTTAATACATCAATTGTGTGGTCAGCCATAAGACAGGAGAGCAACAATGTAGCTGTGTTCTTCTCCTCTGTTCTTAACTGTTGAGCTTTGAAAAGTGCTTCATGCAGATCAGCTGGGAGAATGGGCTCTGGCAATTCCCTAAAAAACTGCTTAAGGAGTCCTGCAATATCACAGGGAGGTGCAGAAGACAGGCATCTTTCACCATGATCCAGCTTATTCTGAAATAAATATAATAATCTTGAGCATTTGGGGGCTTAAGGGTTTGTTGCAAATAAAGTATCCTTTCTTATACTCTAAAGAGTTTTCTATAATAAATTTCTCTTAACTCTTGTTTCAGTATATATCACTCCTTTTTAGAAGGCTAAAAACAAAATTAAGAAAAAATTTTCATTTCATATAGTACATTATAGAAACAAGGACCATGGATTTGAGAGTACTCGCTAAACTTTTAAAGCATTATATAAATAGCATTGATTATAACAATCATTTCACAACGTATATATATTTCAAAACATCAAGTTGTACACGTTATTTACCAACTATACCTCAATTTTTTAAAAAGCATTATATAAATGATATACAGTTCATTTTGGAAAAAGCAAAAAGGTTTGTCTGCCATGAAAAAACCTATTTGCAAATTCAATCTCTATCAATAATTCATGTAACAGTTCTAAACATTTCAGTCCTAAAGACCATATCAAAAAGTGGTACAAATGAAAAATTATAGTTCAAGAATATGCTTACCTTTAGTGCTTTTAGACGAATAACAGATCCTGATTTCCTAAAAAGCCCTTCTGTATGAATATGCTCTTCTAAATTTGTGCAAGCATCAACAAGAAAACTGAAAGAAAGAACTCTTTTCAGGTGGCAAGATATGTATCTCACTAAATCCTATTCTCCTGCCAAACTATATAAGCAGACTAAGTATTACACCCCTTTCAGGAGCTCTGATGCCACAAATCCCTTTAACCTCTACGATAAAAAGGTTACTTTTAGTTTTCCTTCTTGCTTCCTGAATTCTTTTCTAACACCCATCTTTTTACTCATAACTTCAATGAACCTGCTCAACCCTACATCCTTGTCCATCTTAATCCATTTCTTTGCTTCTGCTCAGAGCATAAGATTTTTTTTTTAACTGCGTTCATTTCTTCATATGCCAGCCTTTGCTCAAATCTCTATAGTCAGACTCATCCCTGTTACTCCATCAAGGTCACTAACGCCTTGCCAAGTCCATGGTCAATTCATTGTCTTCATCTTGCTTGTCCTACTAGCATCTGACACCCTTGACCATTCCCTGATGATCTAAAAATATTCTTTTTCACACACTTCTGGTTTTCCTGCTGTCTCTCTGACTGCTCCTCCTCCAACTTCTTTTCTGGCTCCTCTTCTTCTCCTAGACTTCTACACCCTAGGATCACCCAGGGCTCTGTCTAAGGCCTTCTCCTTTTCTTCATCAATACTCTCTCCACAGGTGACCTTGCCCAGCACACAAAACTTAGAAAACCTACCATCTACTACATTTGCCCAAGAATAAGGCAAGGTTTTTCCCTCATCAACATTACCTCTCAGAAAGTCAGATATATCCCAGTCCTTACAATTCTTCTCATATTTAGAGGTACGTGCTCAATTTCTTTATACTGAACAATTTTTAACAATCAGTATTGGCTGCAGATACGTAGTTAATATTAATAGCTGGTAACAACAAATCTGAATGGATATCAGCTGCAAGCAAATGAAGGCACTGTACTGGTGCACAGGGGCTCAGTGTTGCAGAGGGTAATCAACAGAAAAGTTTTTTTTTCTTTCAAGAGGCAGGCAAAGACATTACAATAAAGATTTAGTCATTATTATTAGGGTTGTGACTGTGATTCCAAATGTTGAAAATCATCATAAAATAGCCATGTATAGGCCATTTAAAAGTAAAATAGTAAGTGGTTACTTCATGAAGATTGTGAATCTGTACCTTTAGGCTGAATGAGAGGAAACTGTTCTAAGGCAGGGAAGTGTTCAATAAATGATTTTGGACAATGCATCAATTAAAAACCTAAGTTATTGGACTGTGGTAGCCAGAATGAATCCTACTTTGGATAGAGGGGAAATAAATTAGTAACAGCTAAGATAATTTCTTTACATGAATTTTTAAACTGTTTTCTTAAGATATAAACTTCCCTAGTAATTTCTGATGTAGTTAGTTCAAAAGATTATTTACAGATAGTGACACAGAAAAACTCAAGAGTTGCATAATTTACATTGACAAATACTCTAATATCTTAGCTTAAATATTCTTTTAGTCAACATTTCTAAAACAAAAAATACTAAAATTATAACTGAATTGGTAGTTTAGTATATTACTGACTATAATCAAAACTACAGTGAAAAAATTGGCTACAACTGAAAACTGACTTAACAGAACAATAATAATTTGCTTTCTAACTTTTATTCATCACTGAACCTTAAAATTCAATCCTGAAAATGAGTGTACAAATTAAAAAAGTTAAAATATGCAAAAGTTTAAAAACAACTTTCACATTAGTTAATGCTGAGAAATAAAATAATTTGCTAGTTCCAACTAATTGTGTGAGTCAATCAACTAAACATTCAAATACCAGTTTGAAATATTTATTCTTCATTTCAAACTTTGCTTACCTTGGAATATGTCCATATTCTGGTACAACACACTGGGGCAATGCATTAAAAGGTACTCCAAATATTTTACCCTAAAATGACAAATGCAGTTACTCTAACACAAATATTACATAAAATGTACGTTTTCTTAAACATTAGGCAAATTAAAAACCTAACAAATAAAACAAGATAGCAGAAATAATCTATCAATCAAGACAGAAAACAATTATATCAAGCACATTTGTTAAAAAGTAACTACTTTATACTCCACATTATGTTAGGTTTTGGGAGTACAAAAATGGTCAAGTTAGGTCATTGCCTGAAGCAATGTAGCAAATTCTGTTAGTTTCCAATCCCATAATAGAAAATCAGATCATTTAGTGTTCAGCCAGGAAATTCTTAAACAGAATTTGGCCCAAAACACAAACACTAACATTTCTGGAAAAATACTAGTTTCCTTCAGTAACTATATAAATACTGATCTTAAACTTTCTGTTGGTCACATCATAAAAACTAACTTGGACAAAAGGCTAAATTGACTGATAACAGTAATTCCTGTCACTTAGTGTGTACTTCCTAACATTATATCAGGGTGGTTACTCGGAGACCTGATTATCTTTTCCATACTCTATGGGAGAGCACTACTCAAACTGTTCTGAGGTACCCAAGGTAGGGATTCTGCAAATATTTAATTGAAATTTCATTTCATACTTTGAAAACCATTTTTAATAAGTCACATTCAAATGTATTATTCACATTCAAATTTTAATACATTTGAATATTCCAAGAGTACACTGGTATGCTGGTTATATTTGTGCACACCTCTGGATAAAGAATCTGCCACGATCTTTGGGCATACATTCAAACTTCTTAAAAATGAGTCACTGATTAAGAAGGTTGTAGCTTTGCCTTGGACTTAGAAATAAATTCACACCTGTATATGTCTGCTTGTGTAAAATTAGCTATGTGGGCACACCTAGTCTCACAAATGTTAATTTAGCTTAGATGCATCTGCTCTCCATGAATGCTCTTGAAGCACTTATGTTTCAAGAGCATCTTACTTAATATTTTATTTATAATCAATACGATTATATTGATCAATCAATGCCATTCGGCATTCTAAGTGATTTGACAAATCTTACTAGTCCTTTTTTCAAGCATCTGGCTCAATTTAATTGATGAATATAGAAAAGACTGTATAGTACAGTGCATAAGAAAGCAGGCTCCTAGAGGCAGGACTGCGAGGCTTTAAAACCTTGGCTCTTCCACGTATTAGCTGAGTGATCTGAATCAAAAATATCATTCTCTATGCCTCAGCATCCTTACATATGTCCTAAGTCATAGAATTATAGAGAGAATTAAATGAATTAAACGATGTAAAACATCAGCGTCTGACAGCAAGAATTCAAAGAATATTTGCTGCTGTTACAATTATCATTTCAAGGTGAGCTACTAAAAAAGTTATCATGGGCAACTCCTTATTTGGGTAATCAGAATTTTCTTGATACTGTGCAACCAAACAAAATGCAAAAATATATCAGATGCTGAAGCTGATCCTAAGTTTACAAATGTCATATATAACTAGAATTCAGACTTTTTCCAAGTCTCATTAGTCTCAGCTGACTTCACAAACAAGTGCTATAATGTAATCTCATAAAATAAAACTAATAACATGCTTTTAAAATTTTATATATTAGACTACCATTTAAAATACCTTTAAAAGACTTCTAGCACTTTTCTTAAAGACTCAAAAATATCATTAGATAACAAACACCAAAACGCTAAAGAAATCTAGTTTTCAAATACTTGCTTAACATGTTAGATCTCAATCCTGTAACTTGATGGTCTTCTGTACTTATTAGAATACTTTTATTCGGGTTTCTAGCATGACTGCTAACTAAGATGTAGACCACTGATTGTCAAAACGACTATCATTAGTTGACTAAGTGGCTTGTGACAGGTACTGTGCTAGTTTTATCTACAGATTTTATCACTTTTAAAATCACCGAATTCAGGGAGAGATAACCATTATTCCTATTTTATAGAGTAGGAAACTGAAGCTCAGGACAAGTAGCCCAAGAGAGTAGAGCAGGATTCAAACTCAGGTCTATCTGACTCTAAAGGCAAGTGTCATTTTTTCTTAAGGAGTGAGAAAAAATCTGCGTACAAATTCTTTCATATACTTACAAAACCTACTACATTTGAGATCTTGGAAAGCCAATTTTACATTCAGAAGAAATCATTTAGTTTTTAAATATAAATAAATTTGTTGCCATTCTGTTGCAAAGAACACAAATAATTTTCCCAGAATTTTGTAAGTTATCAAGAGGTATACAAATTATTTGTTAGTTTTCTTCTCCAAGCACCTATTTTCTTTCAGAAACTATAAACTATTCAGAGTTATGCAAGTTAATTTTTAGTTTTCATTTCTAAGTATTTAGAAAGCATCAAATAACTAGGCAAATAAATTGAAAATAAAATGCCTTATAGTCAACTTATTTTTCACAATGAAATTTTTGATGATTCTGTACAGATATGAAAATCTCATTCAAAATCCCATTACCTTAACCCGCCCCACCAAAACCATTAAATGCTTCTCAATCATTCCACAATGGCTTCTCAATTTACTCATTAAAAAACAAAGAAACAAACAAACAGCTTTATGTCTCAAAAGCATGATATAGCCAAGGAGAAAGCATGTTTTTTGTTTCAAATTGGTGAATATAAAATTATTATCAGCAGATTAATTATCAGCAGAATAATTGCCTGTTTCTAATGCGGTGACACTTTCTCATCTACTGGTTCATTTAGAAAATGTACTGGCACCCCTTGTCCCTCTCCAAATCTTACTCTAAAACAGTGGTGGTGAGGTAGTGTTTGTCTCCCTTCCTACGAGCAATTTGTTCAAAAAACAATACATTGGCAGTAAGTGGAGACATTTTCAATTGCCACAACTGGGACATGCTACTGACATCTAGTGCGTGGAAGCCAGAGATGCTGCTAAACACCCTACAATGCACAGGACAGCTAACTCCAACGCCCCCCAAATTATCTAGTCCAAAATGTCAGTGTTCCTAAGGTTGACACACTTAACCCATTCTCCTCTGAATCCACGAAGGAACATTTTAGTATGACCTGATAACAAGTGATGGTAGAGTGTGCCCTCCCTCCCGGCCCCCCGGCCCCCCGGCGCCGCGTTTTTTAAAACGTAAACCTCTTTCCCCAGAACTTACCACTATTTCCGCTGCTGCTGTTTCCAGTCTCTTGCGATCGCACTGCCCACGGCCACCCTTAACCTTAATGCCATAGACAGCACGGAGCTGCTGTACCACGGCCAACCGCACTAGCCTCTGATCCCACATCCCGGACACGTCGCCCACTCTCCGGGGCAGGATCTGAGTCCTGACCCTCGTTCTCCACCAAGTCTTCCAACTTCCAAACACTCTCAGTTTTGCGCTCAGCTCTGTTGCCTTCCGGCTACGTCTGGCACTCTTCCGGCCCCGGCCCCCAGCCACTTCCACAACTTTTTCCTTGACCTATACACTTTCACCGACCGCCTTCTCTTAGCCCTTTGACCTAGCCACACCTCACCTTTCCTTCACTTACACCGGCCTTCTTTCTTGTCACTCGATCCTTTCGGCTACTTACACAGACCTCCCTTCTTTCTCCCTTTCGGTTCCCAGTACCACGCCTGTTAACCAGCTTCTCACCACTTTCGGCCACTTTCCTCCAAACCTTCCTTTGCCCTCGTCTCTCTCCGAAACGTAAACAAGACCCTTCTCCTCGTCCCCTCCTGCCCCGGCCAGCTCAGCAGGGCGCCTGCCCCTGCGTTCCCGCGCCCCCCGACCCTAGCCCAGCCGCCGGACCAGCCGGTTGCTCAGGCGCCTCTTCCAGTCCCGGTCCCCGCCCGGGCTGGTCGCCGCCGTCTCACAGACTGCTCCTTCCCTCCCCCATCAGCCTGCCGGGGCTCCCCGGCCAGCACATGCCGATGCGCTCACAGAAGTCCGGCGGCTCTCCCCATGCCTCCGCCACACCGCGTCTACCGACACCGGAGCCCCTGCGACCCGCCCAACCTCAGCCCCAGCCCAGGCTCAAATGGCAGCGCCAAACAGCGCTCCGCACTCTGATTGGCCCGCTCCTCTTTTCAAAATCAGGACCCCGGAGGGTGGCCAGGAGCTGCCTGTCTAGTAGGTCACGGTTGAAGAGGAGATCACGAAGGGTGTGGCTGGCAGAACTAGGAAACATGAAAAGAAACATGAGTTCAACTTGCTCCTTGTTAGCCTTTTTTATTTTTTTTGGAGGAAAATACCGTTTGTCATGTATTTAAAAAACCCTCGCCTGCGCCTGAGACAATATATTAGAGGAAATGTAATAGACACCTCGTTCGCAGTTTTTCATACCTCGGCCGGGGCTAAAGGTCCTTTGACGGAGAAACCGGTTCTACGGAACCAGAGAGGAGACAATTTGGGTCAGGGTTCACAAACGCTGATTGTAGTAACACTAACCCAGGGCGTTTAACGGGAACTTAGGCTATGGAAACTGGTACATATTTGCGGGCTGATGGTGACGCCCAAGTCTTAGCGCTCAGGTAGTTAAATTAAGTACAATAAAGAAGACCTGTCACAGAGCAGAGAGAGGGAGGAATGCGCAGTCCGCGAGAGGTGGCAGCTACAGAAACTTCATTCGGTGCGATCTGAACGAGGAGACCGGAGAGGAGCCCAGGGAGGAGACGGGGTCGAGGAGCCCGGCTCTGGGCCCACAGTGCAGGGACCTTGGTTATCTTGTTGACAAACAAGACTATACACACCCAGCCCTAGTCCCCGGGCTGCTTTTCCATTGAACATCAGCAATCCCATCAGGGTGTTCTGCTTTCTGGAAGGTAATTCATTTAGGACTGGAGACCTGGACTCAACTCACTATATTATTGTTACATTGACTTAACAGACAATAAACGTTCACTACCACCCTGCCTCACCCCCACGTAAACTCGTTAAGAGTAGCAACAGAATTTATCCGCCTCACCCACTTGTGAGCCTATTGCCTAACTGTGTCAGAGGCCAAATGAATATTTGCCGAACTCATTGAACGGATTTAAGCGGGAAAGTTTTCTTAGAACCATTTTGCTCCTTTTGGAGTTCAGCATCCTTCCCAGTCTGAAGAGTCTCGAAGTGGTAACAAAATAGAAGTTAAGCATTTTGCTTTATGTTAACAACTGTTTATTGAACGCCTACTATGCAGTATGATAAAGTATCATGAGCAAAACCAGACACCATTTTGGCCCGTGAAGTGGGAGCACTGAAGAATATTAACCAAGTAATTATATTAATGTGGGCATAATTATTAACTGAAAGACATGCACTAAGGAAAGGAATATTATTCTATGATAGGTATAATGACAGTTTCTTGATGGAAGAGGGACAATATACCAATGAACTGATTTGAAGGGTCAGCAGAAATTAACTTGGTAAAAAGTGAAGGTGGGATGGTGGAGTGGGACCAGCATTCAGAAGACAAAGGTACTGCAGAAAAAGCCATCAATTTTAACAGGAACCGGTGCATTAGAGACTAAATTGAAACCTATTCTCTTTCCTTCTTGCTTCAGTCATAACTATAAAAAATCACTTGTATTGTCTTTAGCCTCCTCCTTTCCTCAAACTTCACATTGTTTTGGGTCTTAGGACCCACAATGTCTCTTGAATATTAATTTTTCTACATCCTAATGCTTTTTTGAAGCTGAATGCCGTCTTTGATTTTGTGTTTTGTCTTTCTCTTACAATGAAAATATTGCTTCTTCATGATATTAATATAATTACTTATTTGTTTTATCCATGTATATATATAAATATACACACATATACATACATAAAACACAGAATAACAATAACAATATTGCTAACATAAGACTGCTGATGAAGTTTAAGGACCAACAAGTCTATACAAGTCTATAGGCAGAGACTCCAGACTCCTAGTAGATCTCTTATCAGAAAAACGTGTGGATTTAAACCAGTTTCCTTGCCACAGGCTCTCCAGGAGCCTTTAATACACCATTGTGCATTGGGACTTTCCAGTAAGAGGAGAGGATTGAGCTGCACTTCCTAGTACTTGACTGTTGAATTATTTTTTTATCTCATTACTTCAAAGCACTTGGTGGTTGGTGTATGAGGAATGAGCTTTGGTGCACTGTGCACAGTGTTCACATAAACCCATTGAGGACACCCTTCAGCGATGCTTTTCTATTTGGTAAGCTTTCCTATCTCTGCACTCACACTGTGCTTCGAAGCTTTAGTCAAATGTTTCTGCAGTCTCTCAGATCTCAGATATTTGGACATAGTTGTAGCTCATACATGTTTCTCATTAAAAGGAGGAGAAAATAGAGTGGGTATGAGGAGAGTAATAGTTTGAAATCATCAAAAGCCTTTCAAAGACAGACAGCCCATCAATCTAAAGTATCACTGGCAATTCATGCTTGACTCTTGGAGTAAGCAGACAAGGATAGGGAAGTTCATGCCATTCTTCAGAATAATGCTGGGGTAGTGAGTTGTTTGGGTCCTCTAAGAAGCTGATGCCAAGACATGATTAGATGTGCAAGAGATTTAAAGGGGGGACGGGCTTGTGAAGGATAAATGAGAGGATGCAAGAGTTGGCAGAGATTCATTTAGATCCTGATGCAGGTCTGACACCTGTGAATGGGGAGCAGGGAGGAAGGAGGATCGGGTAGAAAGAACCTCCAACTACAGCACAGTTCTAAGACATTTTGGCCAGGCTGATGGGAGTTCCTCACTTACGTGTTAGGAGTCTTGGAATGGGCCAGCACTTGCAACCCTCATTCACTGGCTGGGAGCAGCCCATGGTGCAGGTGCTGTGGTGTATCTGTAGGGCAGGGGCAGGGCTATCCCCTCAGCTGGCCTCCTCACAGCAGGAATCTGAGCGCTGGATTTTTATGGCCACCAGGAGGAGTGGAGTCAGATGACCAGGCTTTGAATTCCAGCTCTACCACTTAATTACTGGAAAGTTAGCTAACTTGTCTGAGCCCCAAACTCCTCATCTGTAAAATGGCAGCGATTAAAGTGTCCACCTCAATGACTAACATGACTCATGTGAAATGCTAAGTATTTTTCCCAATACATTGAAGACCTCAATAAATGTTAACTTATTATTACAGGTACTTGTAGCTGGTACAGACTCCGAAGTTTCAGCCCTCAGGGAATTCTGACAGCTGGATGAAATGCTGAATGGAGGGGGAAATCGTTACCTTATGTGCCATACTGTGCGCAGCCCTCTTCTCCAGGATCTTTCAAATGTGATCCTTTCTCCCTGCTCCTCAGAACAAAGGCACGCTCTGCTGAACTTCACTTCCAAATGCTTAACATAAGAGAAAAGGACCCCTAGACCAACCTGGCTGGTGTGGTGCTCCTCCTCTGCAAAGTTCCCTTGAAGAGTTTAGTGTGTTTGTTTATTCTGTGTGCCTCGTGCAGAGGTCAATAATGCTGTAAACAGAGACGAGCTCCAGGCTCAGTGAAGCAAATTACAGAATATTGAAAAGGTCATGGCAGTAAAGTACATCACTATAATCCACAGAATATATGAGGCATTAAAATCCTAATGCCTTGACTTTTGATCAGAATTTATTGGAGATGAGAAGAATGAACTACCTCAGTGCATTTTTATGGCCAAAATTAAAACAGGGGTGGATTCACTTAACCCCTGTGAAGCAGTCTTAAGTTCACTGAACCATCTTCTGTGTTCACAGAATTCTGTCTATGGAACTGGATGTGATGAGGAGATTTTATTGCTTTGGAACTTTCGGTGAAGGCAAAAGGTGAGACTGGAGATGGGTGATAATAGAACCCGCTGTTGAGACATCTTCACACATTCGAGACAGGGATGATGGTGAACGGGGTGCTGATGGTTTCTTAAGGATACTGAGCACCTGACCCCCTGGGTCCATGATGCCGACTGGCCTAAATCCTTGACTATCTTTCCACTGACCACGCAGCAGGGGCCGCTCTATCTGGATGCTGCCCCTCTGCACCACACCAAGGAGAAGTGGTTATTAACTAAAGACAGTAGCTGTACAGCCCAGAAACTGTACAGGAAGAAACATGAAGCTCTGTGGATATCTCACATCCAGAAGTGAGTCCTTGATACCTACAGGGATTCTGGGTGAAGCAGCTATGGGGCCTGTTTTGTGAATATTTCTAGGAAATGAAAAATTCTTAGTAAAGAGCATATCTACCTGCACAACCTCTTAACTAAAACTGCTAGTGGTGTTACTGTCTTAACCTTTTGCAAAACTTAAATTACTCTGCCATCTGAGAAGCTCCACCAAGGGAAGGGGCAGAGGAATCCAGCACATATTGTCTACAACGGGCCAGGCATTAATCCTCAGGGCAGCCCTACGAAGTAGGCATTATGCCTGTTTTACACATGAGAACACAGATGAGGCTCAGAAAGGTTATGAAAATGGTACAAGGCCCTAAACTGTGAAATGGCAGAGCTGAGATTCCAATCTGGGTCTGCCTGACTCCAAAATCCATGCTCCGTGTAACACACACACAACTCCTTTCCTGTAGGGGATGCTGGTGAACTTGGGAGCAGCCTTGACTCAAAAGCCACCACTTTTTGTTTTGGGTGGCAACTGAAAACTTTCTGTCTAAAACTGTCATCCTCACTAGTCTCTGGAATTTGCTGTTAGGGGCTGGTCACTTTGGCTTTCCTTCTGACTTTCTTTTAAAATGCATATTATCCTGAGAGATGAGACACTGTGACTAAATGTTTCAGATACTTTACTTCCTAAAGGAAGATCTGATCGCCTTAGACCATGGGTCACCTGGGGAAGTGACAGAGGGATTTATAGAGGAAATGGCAAAAAGGGAACAGTTGGAGGTGCCATGTATGTGAGTCTGTTTCAGAATTTTACCAGCAGCTGACCCCTGTGGTCCTTTTCACTTTTTAAGAAGAGTAAGTTCTGTATTTTAGAGTATGCATACCTATCTGATGTTATTGTTTTGAGAAGTAAATGAGACATATTTGAGAGAATTTTGTAATGTAACAGCTTAATACAAACAAGGTATGGTACTATTTCAGTTTGTAA